CGACAGCTTTTAAAATTATTCCAGTGGCAGCTCATTATATTGTTTACAAGCGTACAAAAGCATTTTGGTGAGAATTTTCCAGAAAAAAATGTTATTCGTGATGGAATTCAAGCGTGATAGTGTGATTTCTTTATATTTGACTGGAAAACCACAAGTGACTATCGTTATGGCGTTTGACTTTGGTTCAGTTCTTTATGTCACCCTGTATGGTATGCGGTTGATTAAAAACTACGCCAACAGGGCTTTCATGCATTCAAGCTCTCTTATTCTGGAAAGCATTAATAGACAATCTAATTTCACGTGGGAAAATACCAATAACGTGTCTCCGCTGGTACCTGTCTTGATTTTTACGTTAGCACCTCTCATGGAATTCACAGGGGCTAGTTTAGAATTCAGATGAACAATCCTTTGATTGATAATGTGATTTGTTTAAGTGTAGGTTAGGTTTAGGATAAGTTAGATTTAAGGTAAATAAATGAGACATGCTCTCAAACACTGTAGTGCCGGAAGCAAACACGATACACACATTTAGACAATAATTGTAGTTTTCATGCATTTCTTTCATCATTTCTAAATTGTAAACACTGAATTGAATTGGATGGCGCCTAAAAGTGTACTATAAATATTCCACAACTACTTGAGCTGTAAATATAGAAAGTAAATAAGCAATAAGATAGAACAGCCATAATTCACTCTCCATTGAGAAAGAGAGAAAGAGAGTTACTCTTAAATATTTCGGGTGTGTGTGCGTTAAAAGTAATTGCACATGGATATGTTTCCATTTGACGCTCTATTAGCCTGTTTTTTAATCATTTTTGGAGATTAGCCCACCCGGTGTACGGACGCTATTTCAAACAATATTTTTGCCAGCAAAATTCAAACACTTCCCAACAATATGCTATATACTATACAAGAAAAAAAATAACATCTACACAATAAACAAGTGTTTCCCACCTGAACAATGTGTTGCCCCCTTTTCTTGCCCCTCTCAGTTTACCAAACCCCTCCCCACTCTCAATGCCTGCCTACAAACAAGACAATTTACAGAAGGCAGAAAAAACCTAACCTAACTCAAGAACTTACCTCGTTTTTGCGGCTGTTGTATTGACGAAGATGGTGACGGTATGCATTGGACAAATACCAATGACGATATTGCAATCCATAGCCAAAGGCAAAATATCCAAGTGGAGGAAGCACCCAACAATGACCGCTGCCAACAGCACGGAGAACTATTGATGTGTCCTTTCCTGCTGCGACGGCTGCAGCTGCTGCTACTGCTGTCGTTATGTTTACAAGCTTTTATGTTGTTGGCAGTGATGTTGAAATTGTTGCCGATACTGGTGGTGATGGTGCTGTTGCTTTTGGTGTTGCTGTTGCTGTCGCCGTTCCATTCAACGGCTGCTAGTTGGCTATAATATTGTTTGCTGTTGTCGATTCGAGCTACTTTGCTGTTGTTAGTGTTCGTATTATGTTGGAGTTCTCCAGGAGCACAAGTCGTTGGCGGTGACAATGGCCGAGATGATGTTGGTGGTTTTCTTGCTGATGTTGTTGCTTTATATATACACTCATTTTTTATGTTGTTTGGTAGTGGTATTGTTGTTGTTGTTATTGTTATTGTTATGTCATTGGATTTATTAAAATTGATATTTTGCCACAATGGCAATAATAACCGAGTTGAAGACGACAACGACAATCTCGACGAGGATGACAATTTTCTTTTCATAGTTGAGCTGGAGCTTGAGCTTGACGTTAGCACTGGCATTGGTGTTGGTGTTGCTGTCGTTTTTGTTTTTGTTGATGTCGTCGTACGTTTAAACATCATAATTGTTGCGTTTATCCGGGTAATCTCTCTTGTTTACTTACTTCTTTGCCAGTTACTTAAAGAGAACAACAACAAATCCAATTTGTGGCTGCTTGACAAGACCGTATTGTTTGTGTCTTTGTTTTTGATGCAGTTCCGTTTTGTTCGATACAATTGTCACTTTTCAAACTAAAATTGCCTTTGAAAAAAAATGGGAATCTATGAAAATGTGCGCCTGCTTAGAGTTGAAACTAAATTACACTTGCGGAGTGGCTTATTGGTGTCATATACACCTGGGGGAATATTAGTTTAACCCGGCTATACCAATTGTAAGTATTGGAATACACTTGCATTGACGCTTCTATCGTAACGTTTTTAAAACGAACAATGGAAAACAGGGTCTACAAGGAATTGGGAAATGCTACATTTGGAAGAATTTAATAAGTTTTAATTATGAAGTTTATGGTTAAATTGGTATAGGACCCTTAACTACTTTCGGTAATAATGAGCAATGTAGGACTCTAGATAGCGGTGTACGAAACTTATAAAAACTAATAGAGTTGATGTACTGGTCTTCTATTTTCATTTTAAATCGACATACAAATACAGATTCCAATATTCAGACCCTTTCTGATTTAGCTAGTACGAAATTACGTTTTACTTCCAACCAGATGGTCAGAGAACGATCAACAACTTTTTGCGGACAGTGGAATGTGACATCGAAATTCTTCAATTTGGTTTCCAGAATTACGCAAAGTACTTGCTAAACTAAAGCTGGCAGGGCCGTCGGAAATTTGAACCTTTTTAGATGCATGTTATTTACATATATTGTAGAGCTTAGTGGCTGCAATAACTCGATCGCTTAATCCCGGTTTACAGTCCACTGGAGTTAACCAACTAAAGGACAAAAAAAACTAATATTCAGTCACATCTCACAGCGGATAAATTTGGTATAAATTCGGTTTGACAGTACCATGAAAAAAAAATGTCATGCAGTCTATTCGATTCAAAAAAGGACACCAACTACATGCCCTCATTCACAACATCCTTGCACGTGTATTACTCAAGGAAAAAAAGACGAAAAACAATAACAGGATGTGAAAAACTAACGCAGAAATGGAAGTAAATGACTTTGAATAATAGTTTGCCATTTGAATTGTGGTGACACACTCAAGTTTCCCATGTAATTGTGTTAATTTACACTTTTTATTCGCACACACACACACTCACATACATAATATACATATATTAATTTGTTGGTGCACAAAAATTCACTTTCGATTGAATGCCACGACTGGAAAATGAACGCACCGATTTTCCAACTTTGATTGCGCAATTCATCCGCGGACCGTTAGCAAATGCGAACCGACGAGCTCAAACTTTATTTGATGACTGAAACTAAAATCACATCAGCATTAACATCGTCATCATCATCATAACAAACGGAACATACGACGCGACAGACGAGTGATACAATGTTGTCGGGCAGCAGTTGTATTAAACGAACGAAGCAAACGGAAGAAGAACAAGAAGAAGAAGGACGAAAACAAAAGAAGGAAACCAAATAAAAACCGAAGCAACACAGCCCCAGTCGTCCGTCCGTCCGATGAGAAAGCTTCTCTTCTTGTTTTTATTTTTGTTTTTCGTTTGTTTTGTTAAAGCGGACTCTGTAATCACACGTTATGTTTTGGCAGTGTGTCCATTTGTTAAACCGTAATCCAGATTCGCACACAAATCGAACAGACCAACGCGCCACTCACGAGTTCATCTAAAACTAAACTTCATCACAAGATGAACGATGCTTAAATATGTGAGACGAACCGGTTAAGCTTTATTTTGGCAAACACTTTTGAAAGTTTCAATTGTTTACGTGAGAAAGTTTTGCACATGTTTGTGATATAATTGTATCTCTCCCTGTAACTCTTTGAAATCCTCAGAGCTTCAAACAAGTGAAAGCTTCTGATAGGAGAAAGTGTATGTATGCTTTTTTTGGGACAGAAGGGGAAATAGATTCGTATGTATCAGTGATATATTCGAAAAATTCAATTTTTTAAAACTTTTAAAATAAAGAAGTAAAAAGTCGTTAGGTTACGAAAATATCTAAAAACAAGTAAAAAATAGTTCGGCCAGGCTTGGTAAAAAAAAAACATTCTATACAAAAGTATCTGAATTCAAACGTGTTCCACTTTAAACTAAAAATACCAATAAGTCCTTTTGGACAATGCTGTTAAACTTTTCAAAAAACAATAAAGTGTGGGAGGCCGTAAAATGGGGACCCATACCAAAACGGGAACCTCCATAGCGAATTTTATACTTCAAGGATTGTCATCTGTAAAATCTTCTCAAATACCTAATTTGAAACAATTTCGTTGTAAATGTGACTAGGATTATCAAAATAGCGAATATCGGTGGGAATCGTTGTATGTGCGCTATAGGAAAACGTGGACCTAAATATTCAATGTTCCGTCACCAGAACTAGAACCCATTATGAATTACAAATACCAATTTTTAGACCAATGACGTGTAAAAATGTAACAAAAATCATCAAAATACTGAATATTGGGAGGTACAATTATACGGGGGCTATACGAAAACGTGGACCTATATATACTATGTTCCGCCACAGGAGCTAGAACCTATTGTCAACTACAAATACAACTTTTTGGACAAATCCGTGGATAAATGCGGCAAAAATCATTAAAACACTGAATATAGGGAGGTACAATTATGGGGGCTATACGAAAACGTGGACCTATACATACAATGTTGCGCTATCGGCGGTATAACCCATTATAACCTACAAATTCCAATTTTTAGGCAAATCCGTGGAAAAGTGTGGCAAAAATAATCAAAATACCAATATCGGGAGGTACCGATATATGGGGGCTATATCAAAACGTGGACCGATATACCAACCATCATAGACACAATACAAATTGTTCTTCCAAATTTTGAATCTCTACGTCATGTGGGCTGTATCGTGATTTCAACAGACAGGCGGACATCGTTAAATCGACTTAGATTTTTATGCAGATTATGAATACATACTTTATGGGGTCTACGATGATCAATCAATTCGTTCGCAAGAAAACGTTATTAAAACAGAGAGACAACATTCTGGGCTGAGCAAGAATATATACTTTGCGGGTTCTTATGTAATTCTTTCGGGGAGTTTGGTGTCACAAGCCTGAAGCCTGTGTCTTGGAACTTGAGTCGAAGCGTTGCCAACACTGGCTGCCAACAATTTGAAGAAAAGTCTAGTTTGAAATAAATATAACCAGTCATATTTTTATATTTTAATCATTTTAATAAATATCAGAAATATGTGGCACAAATATGAAAGCAACCGCAACCACTTTTTGCAGTCCCAAGTTAAGTTTTTAACTTCAGCAACAATCAATGGAATTACGAAATGTAAGACACCCATAAAATAGCAAAAATTGTATGCAAATTCAATCTTTTTCCGAATGTTTCAATAGTCCAGGCAAAACAAAGCACACTCAATCAGTGTCAACATTACGCTTGCCCGGATAATAATACATCTACGTATTTTGACGACCGTGCCGAATTGGCGTATGGACTAGGAGCATTGCCCAAGCTCTTGAAAGAAATTGGAAGCGATGATGCCACAACACAATTTAGGGCTATCAACTCGTTATCGGAATATATAAGGAATCCGTTGCATGCTCAAAGGGCTATAACGCAATACCAAATTGTAAGAAGGTAAGACAATGGACACCAATAACTACAGCAAATCTTCATTAAATATTTAATCGTTCCACTACTGGATATCATAAACCCAATGTGGCCCTTCACTCAAATCCTCAAATCCAGTATGATGTTCAAAAAAGAAGCGAAATGCATAGTGCTAAAGATAGGCTAGTGTTTTTCGCTTCGTATTTAGATTAAATGTATGTGTTCCGATCACACCGTTCTTTGGATGTTCTTTTAGATCCTATGCAGATAACCGTTTGATTATTAAGAATCAATGTCCCTTATTTTTTATCCTGTAATTTATTTGTTTCTCCTCTATCTCACTCATTAATCGGCTGAAGACTTTGTATACATATCGCAATATGAATAAATAATAAAAATAATATCTCTTGCAGATGTCAAAATCTATTGTTGCGTCTACGAATAAAAAATCAAGAATCCAAATGTAGAGGTCTGGACTGTTTACTAACAATTTTTTGTAAGCATTCCAGTATAAAAACGGGGACTTTTACACCAATTTTTCAATCATCTTTTTAGATTACATCTCAATGCATTTAAATGGCGTCCATCAAATTGTACGTAGTAATCGATTGTTAGATCAGATCTATGAAATAGTTATAAATCGCGAAACCCATATGCCAAAGGCTACAAAAATTTTGGCTTTGCTTAGCGGTCAACCCACTGCCTCGTTATATTTAATTAACTCGTACAATGTCTTGGATAAACTCAAAAGTATTTGGTCTTGTGATATATGTGCTCTATACTATCCCGAGGACTTGTGGTTACATTTACAACATATTTTGGAGTACATTCCCAATGAGGCGGTGAAGTGTGGCTTCTTCGAAATACTGTACAAACGCATAAAAGGTCGCCTTTTCCAATTTCATCAGTTCGATTTGAAATGTTTTGCTTTGCTATGCCGCTCCGAGGAAGGACAGCAACGTTTTGGGGCTATCGATGGCGTCAAGGAAATGTATGGAATTCTCAAAGATCCCTTGGCGAAACTGGATACTTACGAGAATGTTGTACTTACTTTAATGAATGGAATTATGTCCAAGCAAGTGTTGTGGAGATGTCGCGAATTCCCGGATCTACCACTGGTTATAGCAGAATTGTCGAGAGACACGACAAATTCAAATATGCAGCTGTGGTGTTTTCAGGTATGTACATCTAAAAAATGCTTTTGTATTCTACATACTCATAAGGTAATATTAAGCTTTTACGTGAATTGGGTGAAATGCCTTGCATCAAGCGTTTTACAAGGGCAACGTGTTTGGAAATATTGAAGAACTGCAAAGGTCTATCATTAAAAAATGAAGGAGCGCGCAGTGAACTTTTGTATTGGCTGCAAAGGGAACTCTACCATACTACCAACTTGCGACTGAAATCATTAGATATTTAACATGTTTGTATGTTTTAAAAATCACAATAAATCACAGTTTGATAATTATCTGGCTTAACATTTAATTCTTATCCTAATTTATTTTTGGAGGAAAGTAGTCTCTTGAATCGTTTTCATCCATTGCTGAGCCCAATATGTCATTATCATTAGAACCTTGATTTGATCCAAACACAATTCTGAAAAAAAGAATTGATTAACTTGATGCTCCGATTACAAATTTATGTACAATACATACGGACAAGTGTTGCTAATGTTGGAAAATATATTTTTTATTGGCATTGTCTTCGAATTCAGGAATTCTTGGCAGAATACGTCTAGAAATGGCCTATCCCAAAAATTGTCTGTAGGCTCATTAGCCCTTATAGTTAACTCTAAACCATCCATATGTCGAGTTCCTAGGTTTCGATACCAACCCTGGGACTTCACGTAATTCTGTCTTTCCGCAATCTGCAAACTGTCATCTTCTTCGGTATCATAATCTGCTAATTTCTGTATCACGGTGAGAACTGTCTTTTGTTCAAGCGTCTCATTCGTTAGGAAAGGTGTTAGCAATTCCGAATGTAATAGTATGTTTGCGTCACTGGCTGCAATAAGGTTTCCACTGGTGCTTTTGTTGTCCAAAATAACAACGGCTACATAACGAAATAGACCAAAATCTAGCTGCCTTACTGGAAAGAGGAGTATATAGGTTTTATTAAATCGAGTGGACATGGTTACTTAAAAATAAGCTGTGACCCACATTTTTCAATTTCCGCATGTAAGTTATCGCTCGAAAGTTGATTGTAAGTACATACTTTATTGTTCAGCTGACCATTTTCGAAAGTTTCCTTTAGACGAGCTACGTGGTCGTCATAATTCTCAACCCAATTAAAAATAAAAACATTGGTGGCAGACAGATCCATTTTTCCAGAAACCTAAAGTAAAAAAGGAGTATTTTCGGAACTTTGGAACCATATATTTCGGGAAGTATTGATTTCCCAATAAAAAATTGTGCCGCTGTGCTTAGGATAACAAGACCTACCTTCGGTAAAATTTCAGAATTTTTCGTCAACTGGAGCTAAACTCAATTTGTTCCAAAATCTCACAAATATTTAGTATAATGTTTTAACCATACTTTCCTTGTGGCTTGTGGATGTTTTAAATCAATTGTAAATTTTAAAGGAAGGTGACTGGGAGGCAATTTGGCCAAAATGCAATGTATGCCGAATCTGCAATAAGACTGATATTGCAGTTTAAAAAACCGGTATTATTTAAAATAATCTACAAAACCTCACAATATTTGCTGCCTAATAATGTACAATCATTTAACTAATTTACTTAAAGCAGCATGCGGTTCCCCTTACAAGCCTTCTGACTACCAAATTTATGTCAAAACGCAATTATTGTAATTATTGTGATTGAATTAAAAATTTTGTCCGATATCATTCATAAAGGGAAAATCGGTTATCGTAGTTTGACAGACATGGTAGAAAAATGCTCTGTTCCAGAACCTGCAAAAATCTACTAGTTTTGCTAATTTTTCCGATATCATAAAGGGAAAATCAGTTATCTTAGTAAAAATTTTGATATTATTGCAGTTCTGGAACAGACCAAAAGAAAATGGAGGAAGGTAGTCGCCTCGACACAGCAGGTGGCAATGAATGAATAACAACAACCAACTTCAACATCGTATAGATCAGAAGTGCATCACATGGCACTTGGTTTCAAAACAGTAGTTGGAATCCATTATGTTCAAGGCCCATTAAATAGTTTAAATAGTCGTTTAAATCGCACTAAAACTACAATTGAAACAATTGAGATCATAATGTCTGTCAAAGTGTTATAATTATATTTAATAATAATAATGACATGTAAATCGGCTGTTCGTATCGGATGACATGCTATGGATACATATTCAATAGAACCGACCATTAAAGAAATCATTCCTCCTGTCTTTAATTAAAATTTAAAATAAAATACCGCATATCAAATCAGTTGTTGAAATGAAAAATTTGTAACGTTCAAGAAAACGTTTTCGTTTTCAAGAAAATAAAATCCATTGAAAATTTAAAATTTTAAAAATACCGAAAATACCGAATATGTCCGTTATATATAGCCGAAGACATGGACCTGCATAGGCAATTTGGTCATAAACCAATTCCACTATACGATACCGTGGATACATCGAATAGATCATGCCTGCAGACAAAAGGCTTCGTATCTTTCCTATCTTAATTCGTTTTGATTCTAGCGTGATTACCCCAGACGGACAGACGAAGGGTAAGTACCTTCACCATTTGGTACAAATTTGGCAGTTTTCAAAAAAATAAAATCCGTTTAAAATTCTGTTAAAATTTTGTTGTTGCAAAATGGTCTGGCTTTATCCCTTTATTGTTGTTTTTATAAAAACAACGTTTGTTTATTAGTGGAGAACGATGGTAATGTTTACCAGGGGGTAAGGCAGGGAATACCTAGGTTTCGGAAAGAGCCACCAATCCTCATCAGTTCCCTTGTTTTTGTCTGGGATATTCTCCCCAGAAGTTATTTTAAAAATAACTTCTATGACAAAAAACATTTTTTTACCCAAGTGACGAGATCGTAAGCTCAATAGAAGAGGAACCAAAGAATTAAATAAAACTAAAATTCTCTTGGAAAGTCTTCTAAATCTTACAACCGCACTTATAAACATTTACATCTTTCTCCACTTGTTATGCTTTCGTTCAGCCTGAACGAAGTAGCATAACCATGTAAGTTGGTTTTGTCTGTTACAACAAAAACCCCTTCGTCGACCGTGCCTTGTCTATTAATAGAACAGTGTGGCTTGTTTGTTCGGGATACCGTAGTATTTTGTTGTTGCAAAAAGGTCTGGCTTTATCCCTTTATTGTTGTTTTTATTCACTTGGGTAAAAAAATGTTTTTTGTCATAGAAGTTATTTTTAAAATAACTTCTGGGGAGAATATCCCAGACAAAAACAAGGGAACTGATGAGGATTGGTGGCTCTTTCCGAAACCTAGGTATTCCCTGCCTTACCCCCTGGTAAACATTACCATCGTTCTCCACTAATAAACAAACGTTGTTTTTATAAAAACAACAATAAAGGGATAAAGCCAGACCATTTTGCAACAACAAAATACTACGGTATCCCGAACAAACAAGCCACACTGTTCTATTCTGTTAAAATCTTAAAATATTACAATATTCAAATGCGAAACTTGAAAAAAAAACTGTTTATAATGTAGCTAAAATCATCAAAATACCGAATATAGGGAGGTGCCATGGGGGTTATAAAACGTGGACCTGCACAGACAATGATTAACTCACTGGGTTTAATGGATTCGTAATCATCGTCGTAATTCTCAACGCAATTAAAAATAAAAACATTGGTTGGTGGCAGAAAGATCCATTTTTCCACAACTAAAATTTCTATCGATGTTTTACGCCAAGTAAACGATGGAGATTGTTGTCAAAAATATCGAATGTTGTGCATATCGATAGTGTGCCAGCTCTATTTCGACACCCAAAAGTCGATTAGTCAAAAGCCGACTAACGTATCCCTAAACACAAAAAAAGTCAGAAGTAATTTTATTTTTGTATTATGCATGTCGTGTCGTTCGGTTATTTTCCGTCTCGTTTTTAAGGGTATTATTTTTTTTTTGTCGAGAAAGGAAGGAATACAAAGGAACCAACGTAAAATAAAACAAGAAAATAAGGGAACAAAGACTACTGAAATCTATGTATAATTTGAGAAAACAGCAACAACAACTAATATTTCATAAACAAATACGAAAAAAAATATTTAAAAATACCGTCGAAAATGTAAACACTCCCCTAAAATTAAAAAAAGTAAAATTAATAAAAAAATTGATTATTAATACAACAAACACTGCCTAAGCAAATTTGTATAATTAATTTATTCTTAGAATTAATGATTTAAAACTCGCGAGTTGTAAGTTAAAATCTGTAAAAGAACTCGAACAAACAAGCAACAACAAAAAATGTCATTATCCAGACTAGCGAGGTGAGTAGTTGTTGTGTTTTAAGCAAAATAAAATGGACTCGGCACCGACATATGATAAGAAAACATCCACCTTATCTGTTGTTTGTAAATAGTGAAAGCTTATGTTACACGCAAGGAAGAATGCACGACCAGCCGGCTTTCGGTCTGTTTCAAATGGCCTTTAAAAGATCAACAGCTCGCTAATCATTCTCTTAAGGAAATCATGGCAACATGCCTCAAGACTCGATGAAGGCGACATATACGACTTCTATCGTTTAAAATAAGCTTATTTGTTGATCAGATTTTTAAAGGTTTGTGTACCTGCATTTTGTGCTAAATTTTCGACTATATAGTCAAGAAAAAATACTTTTCAGGAACCTTGTAAAAACTGCGGAGGGATTTCGTTAAACTAAACATTTTTTTAAAACCTATTTACATTCTTTCGTCGAATGTTGGCAAATTTTTCAGCAAAATTTGACTTTAAAGCCTACAGGCATTTTTAAACGATCTTTCATTTACTAAAATCTGTTCAGCAATAGAAAATTGCATGTATAATGCAAAATGTTTTTAGGCCGTACTATTTTCAGAATGTTTTTGCAACAATTCAAGCGTTGCTGTTAAAAGATGTAGGCCATTATCCCGGTTACGGGGTGTTTCTAGAATTACACATGAACTCGAAATTCAGCTCGGACATTATGGCATTACGTATGATCAATAAAATAATTAATATGATGAATACGCAGTACCTAAAAGAACCGTTACAATACGCAATACTTAAAAAACAGTGCAAAAAAGCGCCGGACAGTTCTTCTTTATTGTGTATTCGCTAGGGCAGCCATTACACGAAGACTTGGCAGTAATGGATGTCATTGTACTCTGCCACTGCTAACCACCGCATGGCAGAGAGACATTCATGTAAGCGCTGTGGCTGTGTGTTTATGACACACATTGATGGGTATCTGTTTTGATGCATTTCGTGTTTTCTTGTTACTATCGTTATCGTCATTATTCTCATTCTGCCATGGTTTGGCTGGCTTGACAGACCGGGATGGGTGGGGGACGGAGTGCATGCATGCATGCAGACCGTTTCGGAAGTTAACCCAGAACTCACGATTATCGATCCACGAGAAAAGTATTAGTATTTGAACTCGAAAGTTGTAGTCCCCTTTTTGTTGATGTCGTCTAAAAATCTAATCGACGAAGAATAAATAAAATGCAAAAACAATTTGTTGTTTTTGTATGTTTTACGAATATCTCTTGATTTACGATTGTCTTATAATTAGCACGTCAAATGAAATGGAAAACAGTTTGCGTTGTTGATTTTGTTCTAAATTGCAACAAAATAAAACACTTGCAAAGGTTTATTAAAAAAATAAACATTGTTTTGGAACAGAACACCAGCGCAACGAAAAGCAGCTGCTATTTTTATCGAAGCTGATTGTTTTCTATTTGTCAGACGTTTGCCGGGCAGAAAGGGAGAGAGAGAGGATCGAAATATTCTGTTCTATTAATTTCGAAAGTCACGCCGGTCCAAGCTGAACCTAGATCACACAACTGGTCGTGCTGCGGTATCGACTATTAACACCTTTTTTTCTTGAGCGGAGCATGTGATTTAGAAATAATGGATAATAACATTTTTACTTATTGCCTTTCATTCATTGAATCATACATTCATTTATTTTAAAGAAGTGTTAATCAATAATTGTTAAATTTGAAATGTGTACGTTCTGTTGCTAGATTACTTATTATTGTTTATACCTATTTAGATTAGGTTTGTAGAGTTATTAGGTGGTTCCCTTTAACAAGTAACAACTCTTGACATACAACTAAACTGAATATATTTTAAGATTAGTTCCAAAATACTAATATCGTCTAAAAAATTAAAATTAAAATTTTTATTTTACTCCTATTAGTACAATACTCAATATATACATTCACATTATATTATTTTTTTTTGTGAATAAGAGTATAAAGTAACATCAAGTGTTGTCGCACTTCAAACAAATATGTTTAACTTACCAGTCCATAACTACGTCCAAATTTACATTAGACACTTAATTGCTGGTTTTTGAGAAGCGATGGGTCTCCATTTTCCAAGAAATGATTCTAATGGTAATAATAATTGCCTAATATAAATGAAAAGTAAGACAACAAAGAAAAAACTGAATTTAAAACTCATTTGCAAACTGTTTCTTCTTAATTTTATTAAGTTTCATTAACAATTGCGGTATTGCGTAAATTGTTCGATATTTTTGTCACAACATAATTAAACATATTGCTCTCACCTCAATACGATATTCAGCCGTGCAAGACGCTTAAAAATTAGAAAAAAGAACTCGTCGGAATTCCTAAATTAAAAAAGAAAAACGTATCTATGCTTTCATAAAACGTTTGGCTTGGTTTACCTACCTCTGAAAGTTGTTTTTACTATGGTTGAATACTGACCTAAGTCATTTTCAACATTTTGTCGGTTCGAAAACTACGGCAGAAATTTAATTAAAAAAATAAACAAAACTACTGGAAACTCGAAAAAAACAAACAAACAGTGACAAATGACGACTGCAATTGAACAAACTTAAATAATTGATAAGGAAAACTTCAATTAATATTAAATGTAGGCACCATAGTCGTCAATAATACGAAGAAGTGGCTGCTGGAGTGCACACTTCGAGCATGCAATAACAATATATGTAAAATATAAGTGATGTGATAAGTGTTGCAACAGCTTCAGCAATTAAAACGAGAAAAACAACTTTGACAGTTCAACACCAACTATTAGTCACCGGTTCCTATGCAAAGACATCAAACATCAGACTGCTACTGCGAAAAAAACAGGATTCTGTAAACTGACAAGATCTGCGATAGTTGGTTTTATGTGTTTCTAAAAATAGTTTTTAAATACAAAAATAACAAAGAATTAAGTGGAGTGAACTGCTGACAAGATAGGCGCACCGCTGAGTGCGGTTTTCCAGACAACAAATAGCCATTAAACAGTCATTTCATACAAGTAAAAACATTCATATTCAAATACTTATTTCATGGGGTGTAGCCGTAGCTCATATCTGGGATTTATCAGCAATATCTTAGTCTTTGTTGATCAAGCACACTAATGTACAAACAAGTATGTTCCAAACGAGAATCATACGTAAATAAAGTGTTTTGGATGCAAAACAACAATAATAAGATTGTTTTCGTTTAAAAAAAAAAAATAAATAAATAAATAAATAAAATTGCGTCTCGAATAAGTAAATACAATGTTGGATGGAGCCATAAAGTTTTGGGGAAACAACGACATGAATACCAAAACGCAAAGAAAGAACATTGCTGAAGTTAAACAATAATAAGTCTTCTGAAAATACAATAATTTGCTATGGTTACCAAGAACTCTTTTATATTCAAAATACCCTGCCTTTGTCGCTGACGTCTTCCACGGCATATAGTTGTTGCAATTGACTCATTACTTTCTGAGCGGCATTGTACTGCACTGCACTTCGCTTCGCTTTGCTTTGTTTTTGTATTCTAGACTCGTATCAATATTTTCCATGCATCGACGCTCTCTAACGTTTGCATCGCTGTGGTGTTGTGGTGACTGTTTTGTTGTTGTTTGGGCCTTTCCCTTTGCGGATAAAACTGGCGAAAACCACTTTTAGGCGGCTGAATTACAAAAACAAAACGCTGCTATGCACAGCACCGACCATCTCCTCGATTCCGAACTACCAAACAATCTATGGGTCTACAGTCTAAATTAGCGATCTATGAAGTATGGCAAACAAAAGCCAAGAAATTGAATTGCAAAGAGGCAAATTGGAATAATTGAAAATGTATGTATTGTGGCCCGGTTGGGACCGGCTCTTAAAGAAAACAGATTTTTCGTTTTTTTATATTGTTTTATTCAATTTTACAAAACGTATGTCTTGGCATATGTGTGTGTGTGCGTAATGGGTATTAGTATTGATCACCTCAATCTTCCCTTGTCCATAACTATAGCAACAAAGTCATCAAAAGCGCAAAAGGAATGGAATTTTTAATTTTGTTTGTTATTGATGAGCAAAATGTAGATTTTCGGTGCTTATCAAACCAATTTTGATAGAAATAAAAATAAATAAATAAAAATTTGATTTCACTAACCAACACAGACAAACATACCTTCCACCAAAATAGGTTATCCATATAGTAATTGTTCATAAATAAGCTGTAATGTCCCGACTAGAAAGGTTAAAATATGCTTACATTTTTTTGGTGACAAACATCTTTTCTTTAAAACTTAATTGCCTTACAATGCGTCTACATACATATATATATATATATATATATATATATATATATATATATATATATATATATATATATATATATATATATATATATATATATATATATATATATATATATATATATATATATATATATATATATATATATATATATATGTAAAAAAACTGTTATATGTGTCGCCATTAACACGGCTCAACTGTATTCTGGATGTCGTGCATGCTTTTAGAAAAATGCAATGATAAAAATCACGTACACCACCAACCACCCCAAATTGTTCGTTGTTTATAAACTTGTTTTGGCCATTCTGTAAACAGAATTTTCTCAAGCATTCTCACCATCCGGATGAGGTTCTTCCAAACGAAGGTGGTGACGCAAATGTATTCATTTATTGTGAAATTCTATGATAATTTGGAAGTAAAAATTCATTAAAATTGTAAAATGTAAACAAATTAGCGTTGCCCAAGACTAGATTAGATGTTTATGTTTTTCCTTTTTACTTCAATGAAGTCCGAAACTAGATATAAGTATAAGGAAACTATAAAGTCAGTAGAAACGCATGACACAATTAAAAATATCTTTCCCACAGCTGTAGAATTTTAAGAATTTCTAAAACAAATAAATGACATAATAGGGATGCATATGTACTGAGATGCATAAATAGGATTTCAGCAAAATATTTACTATTGTCATTAATTGAAAGCTCTTTTAAACATAATATTGTGAGACTTTATGTCTCTTATATACATGCGTGCAATACCCGATTCACCTTCATCACTTTGAGCTTGTTGTTGTACGACTGTTTCTTTTGGACTTTAAATATCATGTTCTAATTGAATTGCACAACACAATTTATCGCCAATCATATAAGACAAACAATATAATTGGAATTTGAAAGATAAAAAAAAAGAAAAAATATTTATTGAAAATCTTCTGTGAAAAATAAACATATTTGAACGTTTTTCCCCACCACTTTTGAACAATAAGTGTACTTTTGTCAAATTTAATTAAGAAAAAAAATAAATATAAAATGAATTGAAACATAGGTACTCTTGGTGCTAAATGCCAAATGAAGATATACATGTTTATAGAACAAGAATAAAGCTAATATGCAGTTAAGGCCCAATACTCTTTTAAAAAATGCACTAGAAATGTATACATCTCTACAAGCGCCTTCCCGTGTGACTCTCAAATCATTCAACTGAAAATTGTGAACTTTTTGGTTGTGACTACAAATTATCCCTCCTCTAGGACTTTTTATTCAGACGCGCCCCCAATAACAAAATACATTTTACTCTTTTCTTGCGTTACTGTTATGAGGCTGGCCAACGTCCGCAACAATTGAACAAAACAAAATTACTTAAACACAGTCATCGAGTCAATGGACTCTCCATACTTGTTGGTCGAATAAAGGAGTGGGCGGCAGAAACCACTGACAAGTCGTTATTTGTGGTTTCTCTGTCCGCTATTTCCACCACTCGTCACACAAAGTCGTGAACATGGAGCTGAAGGCATATTATTCAATGCAACTCGACACGAGACGACCAACAAAATTATGGAAAAGAAACCAGAACATGCCGCAACCAACTAACCGCATAACGTCCAGGCAAATGCCGAGCCATTAGTGAACATATCAATAAAGAAAAATGCATTTATGTCGTGCCAAAACAACAGTCGAGTCTGGGATTGCAGCGTAGTATATATTATATTACAAGTATTTTTTTCCGAAAGCTTTCTCTCAGTATTCTGAATCTTGTTTTTTTTTTTTTTTGGTCTGATGTGTCAATATAATTAATTGAAGTTGAAATGAATTTACTGTGGAAGTACTTGCTTAGCAAAATTAAGTTGAAGTTGTTCTATAGTAAGTAGTGATTCCATGACTGTTTACTTTGAGGCAGCCTATGTGGAGATTTCTGAAAAAAAAGGATTTTAGAATTCTTCCAAAGTCCTGGAGCAGAGCAGTTATTAGGACAAAACTTAGATGTATAGAAAATTCAAAAATTGTGAGGTTTTTCAATATTGATATTGCAAAAATGATTTGATGGAAAATCAATTTGTAATGAACCCATGACTAAAGTCAGGTAAATATTTTTCTCTTCATCGCCTTAGTACAAAAGTGAGATTCCCAGCCCTATCATTCACTTGTAAAATTTTAAATCACGGCTTCTGTCTTGCAAGAAAATGTAGCCTCCTGGAATCACATATACTTTTGACTCAACTGTCACTTTGGCACTTAAAATTTTGTTGGGTACATTCCAATCGGCCAATAACATTTAATTTGAATGCAATAGAGAAACGAACACATCTCTGCATAGAAAATGTGCCGACAAGTTTAAAGTGGCATAAATCAATGAACTGAGTGCTAACTAAAGCAAGCTGGTAAACGCCTGAAATGATTGGAATTAATCGTGTGATAGATTGGACATTTGAAATACTTGTTTGGTGTTTATGACACTTGAATTTTCTAAATGCAAATCGTATCTAAATTTTAATATTTAATTTAAATTTTAGATTTTAAATTTTTAAATTTAAAGCTATTTTTTAAGATCAAAAAGTGTTGAATTGGCCAAAAGTGACTTTTTCGTTTGAGTTTTTAGAATAATAAATATTATGTATAGCACGGTAGATTGTTTAAGAAAAACGTAAAAACACTGCATTCGAAATTCCTTTTTCCAGTTTTTTTCTTGTATTTTAACAAAAAAAGGATTATGCGCAAGGGGAAATAGCCTCAACAGTACTTCCTTGTGTTTTTTGTGCATTTCATATACTTCATATAATCACATTTAATTTCATTTTCTAAACAGATAAGTAAAGCTCTCGATAAGGGTCACAAGATACTGCATGCATGCACATGCTTAGCTAGCCAATGTGCCTATATAAAATACGTACAGAAAATTCTAAACAGATAAGTATCTACTACATATGTACTTAACGAACAATAGGTACAATGTCAATGAATATTGATTTCTATTATATTTTAAAAGCTAGCAGCAGCAACACCAACCGAACATCATCTAAAACCTTAACCTTTGTTGATATCGATTCTATACTAAACAGCGAGAAGTGTTTTATATGGACTCTTTTATTTTGAAATAAGCCTTTGGTTTATCTGTGTCTATTTTTGTTTCATTGTTATAATTTTCATAATAAAATCATCACCTGCTTCATGTATAGCTAAATCCGCGTGCATTTCAAACACAATGGTGGTAGGTAATGCCGGTTTATTGACTTTTTGACGCTTGCTTTCGTCACGAATTAAGTCACAAGAACCAGCTCTATATTAGATAAGCTAGTGAAATACATTTATAGATACAATAAATCTATCTTGTGTTATACATTTATACTTTCTTTGAATCTATACAACCATGGTACAATAACTGCAAGGTAGGACAGATTAATTAAACACTGAAAAACACAACCCTGAAGTTAGATTTTTTTACCTTCAAATTTACTAAAAAAATGCTACAAGCTGTTTTGTTTTTATGACATTATTTCACAATATTTTAATTTTAGAAAAAACTTAAAGTAAAAATAAGCAGCGGATTACTCATAATATAGAGTTCCTATTACGTACGATTATAAATTATTTTCATCCCAAAGCAAAATAATTCATCTTCCCCATGGATACGACTCATTTTTTTTATTGACTAGGGGCTTTGAAATAGTAGTTTGGTTCTACCTCGACTTATGGTTTATTTATAAGCATAATATTTGTTTAAAAAAAAATACTTTCAGCCCTATTCATTTGAACGACGCAGACCGCCAGTTGCCAATGTGTCTATATAAAGGCATCGTAACATATGGCAACTCTAAATGAATTTCATAAACAATACTATCTTTGGTTTGACAATTGCCATCGCGGGAAGACATTTGTAGGTGAAAAAAAAAACAAAAAAAAAACAAAATCATGGAATCGACTTCAAATACGCTAATTTTTAAAAATATTCCAAAACAAGTTGATGATGTGATGCAACTTTTAAATTCGCTGAAAATTCCAGCGGCAGAAATAAAACCATTTGGTCGGAAACGTACTCTAATACTGTATGAGTCGGAGAAGGAAGCGTGTGGTGCTTTGGAAAAGCTACAAAACTTAGAATTTAATGGAAAATTGGTGAATGTTTCATGGTTTTGTAAGGATAAATCAAAAGTCAATAATAACAACCCTATGCCTAAGAGGCCAAGCTGCAACAAAGCGGTGCAGACGCCTATGTTCGCAACCAATAGAGCAACATCAATGGAGCCTGTGCAAATTAGCAAGTACGTAAAGAAGTTGTATGCCACAGATGAAAATTTGCAATTTGACCAGCCTCCGCCACCGTATTTGAAATACCAATATCCACCCATCAATAGGGCCATATTGGACAATATTTGTATTTCACTATTAAATAACAAAAAATTCTACACTCAAGTACTGCATTTGATGAATCGAATGAACCTTGAGCCTCCATTCCGTCAGGGAAAACATAAATTCGTACCCAAAGGCGAGCCAAAAGATGTACACACGCAAACTGATCCAATTACGATTGATAATGGCAAAGAACAATGTATCGATTCTGAATCCGAAATGGAGTCGGCAGATGAAGCAGCTTGTTTCAATCAAAGTATTACAATTCCTAAGAGAAAACTACCTCCTTCCGATGAGCAATATAAGAAACGGGCAAGGGCAATGCTTCGAAATGTAAAAAAATTGTCTCAAAATCTTCCTCAAAAATCTCAAACATTGACCTCGAAACAAGATTTATTCGATGCCCCAAGCCAAAAGTTGCAGAGCTCCAATATACAATTGAATATATCAACAGCAATACTAAAAACACCATTAGCAACGGACGTTGAAGAGAGTGAAGTTTCCGTTCAAACGTCCAGTTCAAACGTTGCACCCATTCAGACAGACACCAAAGTAATACCATATGATTTAACCACCAATCGAATCGCAGTAGAAGAAATGCACAAACTGCCGGTATTCAAAAATTATAAACAAGGCGAACCAAGCAATAAGCTGTACATAAAAAATCTGCAAAAAGACGTGGTAACTGAGGATTTAAAAAGTTTATACCAGCAAATCGTTCAAAATGATAGTGTAAGACTGGACATAAAAGTTATGCAACATGGCCGTATGAAGGGGCAAGCTTTTGTCTCATTTAGTTCCGATATTCTTACTGCGTTGGACTTGCAGAAAGTAGTTCTGGAGGCTTTGATTGCAAGCAATGGCTATATTTTACGCCAAAAACCATTGGTGGTGTGCTTTGGAAAGCAAACATAAAAGGTTATTTCCTATTGAAATAAGTTCTGAGACTATCTATAGATATTTCCGTAGAAATGGAATCATTTCTTTTTTATAAATTAACAATGAATGTAAAAAATATGTTTTCTGTTTAATTTCAGGCAATTGTGTCTTTTGGATACCATATATGTAGAAGGCAGTCAGACACAAAACAACTCATCAGGAAAAAACAGCAAATCAAAACTTTCACAACAAACATATGAATATGTTATAGCTGTCGACTTTGAAGCTACATGTTGGGAAAACCAAGCTCCACCACGATGGAGGGAATCGGAGATTATTGGTAAATACATTTCAAAATAGAAAACTGGGGTCTTTAATTATTTGGGGTTTTTCTTTTTCAGAATTCCCCGCGATTTTGGTTAATTTAAAGACTGGAAAAATTGAAGCAGAGTTTCACAAATACATTATGCCAATAGAATCACCCAAACTAAGTGCTTACTGTACGGAGCTGACCGGCATTACCCAAAAAAATGTTGACAATGGCATTCCCTTGCAAACGGCATTAATGATGTTTCAGGAATGGCTGCGAAAAGAATTAAGAGTTCGACATTTAACGTTGCCGAAAATGTCGAAGGATAACAAAGCCGGAAATTGTGCATTTGTCACATGGACAGATTGGGATTTCGGCATTTGCCTTAACAAAGAATGCTCAAGAAAACGACTTAAGAAACCCCCATATTTTAACCAGTGGATCGATTTAAGGGCCATATACAGAGAATGGTACAAATATAAGCCGATTAATTTCTTAGACGCTCTAACGCACGTTGGCCTCGAATTTGAGGGAAAACAGCATTCTGGTATCGACGACGCAAAGAATCTGTCCAAATTAACATTCAAACTGGTGAATGATGGAGCCATTCTGGCCATTACTAAAGATTTGACACCGTTTCAACTGAATTTAAACTGTATTTTTTAAGGCGGCGTAAAAACAGGAAAATCAAGTATAACTTAACTACTATTTAATCCATTTTTTTATATAAACTTATATGATGAAAATTGTAAGACTTACATATTTTATATGAAATTAATAATACAAAGAAATTTTGAATTTCTCTAAATTAAAATACAAATATCCCAAATCAGTAATTGGTTTTTACTTCAATAAATGTCATTTTGTCTACAGAAAATCACAGCAAATTTGTGTAATTGCAGGGATAGAGAAGCGGTTGCGTTTTAAATAAAATCGGGGGGTTTTTTCGAAGCTAAACTTGTTCTATTTTAATAAGACTGAAAATGTTTAGTTTACATATAATCGAGTTTATTTAAAAAAATTACAAAACAAAAATGATAAAAATATACCGAAAAAAACAATACTGATATACATATGTTTAGCAATAAAAGGTTGAATTGCATTACTGATTTTTAATATTATTATGCTGTCTGACAGTATGTTAAATATCGATGACAACGAACAAGGAAAATATGAAATATAAAATGGGTATTTAATTCAAAATTATTTAAAGGGTGTGTCGAAAGTGCATTATGTAATTTTGTGTTTTAAACACAGGAGTGAACATACTTCTATTTTCTAAGTTAAATAAATACAATAATGATTTTCGTTGTTTCATGTTTCGGAGCTAAAACGGTAGATATTTGCTAGTTTTTTAAACTATTATCGGAACTAGGGGCGCGTTGCTCTGCGCTTTCTAAGGGCGCGTTGACCGTTGAAGTAGTTTGATCGTTTGTAGTACTATCTTCATTTTCATTTTCTTCCTCATTTATTAATTGCTTTAAAAGTCCAATACATATTTTTGAACCTTCCATGGCTTCATTAGAGAGCTAAAAACAAATGCAAGATATTATTATGCCTCCCTAGCTCAATTGTGAAAGATCTGTATTTTACCATAGTGAAATTTAAAAACCCATGGGGTAAACCTTTTAAGATATCCAATGTGACGGGTCTATTCAATTTCTTTAACTTTTTGGCGAACATTACACAGTCATCGAGGCAGGGATCCATTTCTAAGGTCTGAAAAGAAAGAGTTAAAAATAAAAATAACAAAGGGAGGTCATCCAATTTACGAGAATTTTAGTTGCTGGCATCTGTTCCAGCCATTCATCGGGTGCGTAGTAAGGAGACAAAAATGGATCTTTGGGAATCTGAAAGGCAAACTCGGCACTAGGAGAGCGAGCAATTAATGCATCCATATTCCTCAAGTCCTCCAAGGGTTTTTGTGAGATACCGTCGCGTTTTATTTCATACGACTGTGTGTAACGGTCAATTGTGCTTGAGATGCTGTTGACGGCATTGTTTAACTTCGCCTGAATATCCAAAGTCAGCATATCTTTACTAATGTCAATCAATAGATTTTCTTCAGACAGGGTTTTGGCCGGCATTCCATGCAATTTTTTTGATCCATCATCCTCCTTAGCCTCTTCGGTTGTCGTATCAACGATATATGTATCAAGGAAATGATCTATGTATTGCTGAGATTCAGAATTTTTATTCGTTGTTACTGGATGGTGTTCTATGGGTACTGAATCGTCTTCAAATGATACACAGGAACTATTATCATTATCTCCAGTAGACGGCAAATCAGTTCGCTCGACAGTTTGACTTAGATATGAGGCACTGGCGAATGTATTTTCCGAACTATCTTCACTCTCCTCCTGCGCTACTTCAATACCACATTGAGTTGTGACATCTATTTTGTCCTTCTAAAATTTAAAAGAAATCGTGACACCTCCAAGATCATCGTTTATTGCAAATTTGGATTTACCTTGATCTCTTCCCATTTATGGTTATCAGATGTCTTTTGCGAAGAAGTACCTTCAGATATAGTTTTACTGTTTGGTTTATCAAGACTCAGCTTATAGTGCGGTTCATCATTCGATGCCTTACGTATTTCTTTTATAAATTCTTCACTTTTCGAGTTTTCTGTTAAGATTTCTGGACTTGGGGCTGCGTAGGCCCTAAGGCATCTCATCATAAATCCAAACGGTAATAACGGGTCCATAAGGCATAACAGCCGAGCAGGGCTGGGTACGAAATTAATAAGCGTTGGACAGTACGCCAAAAATATACCATCAGGCTTACGGACACCCTGTTGGATGCACTTCAATGCAAGAGCTATGCATAAGTTGGCACCGGCTGAATCCCCAGCTAAAACAACGCGTTCAGCGGTAGTGCCAAGATAACTAGAATTTTTCAACATCCAACAATAGGCATAAAACACTTCCTCAATGGCCCGTGGAAACGGTGCTTCAGGTGCCAAACTATAGTCAATTGAAAAAATGGGGCAATCAAGTGCAACTGCCCAATCTCGCAAATACAATTCATGAGATTTAGAGGATTGTGCTACGAATCCACCACCGTGACAATGGAAAATAATGGATGGACTACGAGCTGGTAACTTTCGCCAACCACGCGTTGTACCCAACCCCATCATTCCCTCACGACGTCGGGCGCTGAGTAAACGCGATTGTATAACAAGTCCCGGACCTAAATGGCTGGACGGCACAGGAATGTCCAGAATATCGTTATCTATATCGTCATTAGTTCTTTCCGTACGTTTTGTCTTTGGCAGCTGCAAGGTTTCTGCTGGAATTTCTATAACTTGATTGACCTTAATTGAACTACCAACAATACTGGGTATTTTATGCATTAACTCCGACTCCGCTAAAAACCAAAAAGACTTGCAAAAATCTATTTTAGCGTTTTGAGAGAGATTCACTATTCTTCTCGATCTCAATTCAGGATTCAACAAATATTTGCCACTTGTCCACACGCTGCGTGTCGTCTTCAGAAGAGGGCCATCTACATCTTGAGCATAAAATGTTTCCGAAAAACCTGCCATACTTATTGATATAAACCGCAGGACGCCCCGTATCGAATCGCCATATTGGAAGCCCATACATCTTCCATAAAAGCAATACTGATTTATAGTGTCACCCATTTCGAACAGCTCCTCTGCCGAATGATGGCCATATGCAAAGAGATCGGCGCTATCTTTTGACCACTCGTGCAAAATAAGTAGGTATTTGAGACAGGTACACAAGGACGACAGCAACTGTGAACATGCTTCGACTTCCTTAACATATGTCTTTTTGCGGAAGAACATGGTTGACCTGGCAACAGACAAGTTTTTACAAATGCCCAGGCCGTATTCGATGCAGGAATCGACGACCGAAATAAAACTGCGGTAACCATTGCCGGGAGTATTTTCATCAAAGTCATAGGTGCTGGCAAAGGACTGCACTTGCCTCACTAGGTTATCCGCCATAATAATAAAATCCTGCCACGCCATATTGGCAGCATGCAGACGTTGTCCTTTCTCAGTTAGATCGTCTTTGAAAAAGACTGCCTGTTCATAACAGGCCATCAAAAGGTCGCGATATTTCGCTCGCATTTCTGGAGGAGGAGATGGCACTCTCAAAATATCACTGGCAACAGTTTGAGTCGAGCATGAAGGTTTCTCTGTTTTGTCATTAGCATCATTCTCGCTTGTTAATTTGCATGCCTCCATCTTAAGCTTCTCTGGAAAACTTCCACTGGCAGCCTGCACCGAGCTGTTGACGTTTTCTTTTCTAATTTCAGATGCTGATGCATCTTTCTTGAGACATTGCATAGTATATTTGTTGTGGTGGACCGCCTATGAATACAAAATGAATAATTATAACTATAAATAAAACATCAACCTCGACCCTTACTCTGATAGCCAACTTGGTTTGTGGTCTTGTTGGGCCACTCAGAAACGAACGAAAAACTTTAAAAAAGGCCACTTTCACTACTTTCACTTGAAGTCATGACAACAGGGACCTGAAGAAATGAAAGAAATAATCCTTGGTTGTCCAAGGTGTATGCATAGCAAAGCAATTAGAATTACTTTACTTACTTGTTTTTTAAATAATCCTGTCCAACAATGTGTCCAATTTAATTTCCCCAATTTCCTGGTTGTTTTATTGGTTTTATCCCTCCTTTTGTCTTATTGGTGTTCAGGTTGATTGTTGTCTCTGCTTCAATCGCGTTGGTTTGGTTGTTCGTTGCGAGCGTTGGAAACAAAAATGAAAAACGTCCAAACGAAACGAATATGAAGGCCACAAAGGAATACCCGATAGAGAATAAACAGAAAGCAAAGACTCGGGGTACTCTGTTGTTTACGAATGAGACATGAGAAAATTGGACATCTTCACTAAAGAGCTCGGAACTAGCTCGGCGAGTGGATTTCAACTGTTTAGTCGAGTTAAAGTACCGTTAGACTAGCTAAATCGAGTGGACTTCAACTGTTTATTTAAGTTAAAGTACATTTAGACTTGCCGAATCGAGAGGATTTCAACAGTCAATTCCACACGTGGAATTAATACTAGTCTCAAATCCAGTGGATTTTAGTTAACGTATACACAATGAAATTAATAGTTCATTTATTTGTTTGTATGACGTTTTGAGACCTTATCTTTCACTTAGTTGACATTTTAATTCGAGTGGATTTATACTTTACTTTAAAGAGGGATATCGATTGATCGATTTTTCTATTGATATTATCGATACCTGTACCAAGGCAGGTGTATTAGGTAGTCGCATCAATGCAAATGCTGGTACGATATGTCGACATGACATATGCTCTGTTCCAGAACTCCGATTTATGAGGATTAATTTGACGTATATTCAAATTATTTATATATCAACTGAGTCGGAAGATAATTGTCAATTTTGTTCTGTTCTCTTAAGGGTCCTTAGGATCCTTTTTTGGAAATGTTACAAACCTGTAAGTATCTTTGTGCCGTATACAAACAACCGTAAGGAATGGCTGTTCATTAGTCTTTTGTACCACACGTATTAAGGAGTTAATTAAAAAAAAATAAAACTCATGAACCATAACATATTATTTGTGAAACGGTTTGGATAATAACAATTCATGAAATGTACTCTTATATAACCTAAATTCTGGATACATAACTAATTATAACTACATTATTCTATTAAATGTTAAAACAAAATGTCATCTGCTTTACGTTTCCGCTTCTTTAGTTTCTGCTTAAGATCTACCGTTTTTCCCCTCATGACACTGGCCTTTAATTTCTTGGCGGACTTCTTACGCGCTTGGATTGCTACTTTCCGCTTGGCTGCTCGAACAGGATCGTGGATTTTTTCTTGAGCTAAGACTTTTTTGCGATCAGCTCGGCGAATCATTAGCTTCATCTGAGCATTTGCACGCAACTTATCATATACATCGGATCCTACACGTTTTCTTAGGCGGCTGCCAACACGCAAAGCTACTTGTCTCAAATCTGCATCAACATTTTGATCTTCTTCAGACATTTCTCTTACTAAAGCTCCGAGGATGCCAGGTCCCAGTTTTTGCAACTGATCAACGTTCAATAGTGTAATAAGTCCTTCCAAAAGCGTGAACAAAGACATTCGCTAAAAAAAAAAAGAATTGTATATTACTAGATCCCAGATTAATCGAAATGGTCCCGTTTGAAGAACTTACCATACTTGTGCTGTGGGACGCTTTAACTACTTCTTTATTTATCAAAAACCGAATTTGCTTTAAAAGCCAATTAAGATTAATGTTGGTTGCTGGCTCTTTATCCTCCATATTCTCCTGATCGTCCTCTATATTCTCACTTTGTCGTTTAACACTGAATGGAACATCTTTAAGCATCGTCGCAATATAAAGGAATATTTTAACGATTTCGTCTATCATTAACTGAGATGTTTCGCCGGGTATCATTTGCGCGCACAAATCCAAAACCAATGACTTGATATCATATTCGGGATTTAAGTAAATAAAATCCAACTTATTTAAACTACTTCTGCTATCTTCAAAATCAGCTTGTGATAGCTTGCGACCGATATAGTCAAAATCGTATCCGCTAAGAATATGACCAATGATTTTGGCGGCATTACATCGGACCCAATTGTGATCGTGAGCTAATAAACGCTGCGACTCGTATGCCAGTTCATCCACCACGCTGGTCAACTCACTTATCTTTAACAATTCTGAGGAACAATATTCGAATACTTTCAGTAGACAGTACTGCACTTGAATCATTTCATGATCTAGCGACCGTTGCTTTCGCTCCAGTTCCTCCTCTTCCTCTTGGAATCCCTTATCTTGCAATACTTCATTGACTTCTTTTTCTAGGTATTTATTTTCAATAAACTCTGGTGATTGTTTTGACTGTAACATAGATATAATCAAGTTAGAGAAATCCTCTTTTTTCAAATAACGTTTACAACTTACCTTGTATTTCTTCTTTTTGGGAATACCGCTGACATCATTATCTGGTAAGGAGTCTGTGTGTGGAGCCCTTACAAACCGACCAACATTGGTTGAACTTTCCTGATTTAACCTTGCAACTAATGTTGGTAACAGCACTTTGAGGCGAGGAGCAAACGATTGTTTTTCCGAACATAAAAATCTCGAGCACAATGCCGCCCCCATTTCACGAACTGAAGGTTTATTATTGGCCTTGAAGAACAGCAATGTCAAGTCGAATAAATGTTGGCGACTTGATTTCTCCAATCTGCCAATCAAAATTTCAATGCAATTGGCAACTGCTTTGCGACATTCGGGATCCTCGTCATTTACAAGTCTAGTGCCGAGCGAAATATATAAGAATTCGGCTTTCTTCGTTAATATAGTCAGTGGGAATTTCTTGATGACGGTGCAGATAAATTCTATGGCAGATAGCCGACCAGCGGACAAAGAAAAACACAACTGCACCGTAAAGAACTTAACGATGTGATCCACCTTCTTATTAAGCGGATATTCCATAACATATGTGGTCAATAAGTTCCGAGACTCATCACGAACATATTCAGACGGCGAGACAACACACATCTCACCAATCTTCTTCATGATATCATGAATTGCTTTACACTGCACTTTGCGATTCAACAGGGCCTTCAGCAGATTGAAAGTCATAGACTGATTTTCGCCATCATGTAGATCTTGTTCTACGTATAAAATCAATTCATCAACCTGCTCTTCAGTAAGGTCATAATAGGTGCATTTCCTAAGTAATGCCACGATGGCTTTGAAAGCCGATTTCATCAATTGGAAGTTGTCTTCCTGTTTCGTGGCACCGAAAGTTGAGAAATTTTTAAGTATTTCAAACATTCTTGCAACAACAGATTTTAAATATTCATCGTCCTTCATGGCTTTTAACTCATATTCCTCTACCCAGAGTGTGGCAAAGCACTTGAGAGCGAACGTTGTGACTCGAATGTGAGTGCTCTTCAGAGAATCTCGAAGAAGTGGGAGAATGGGATTGATGAAGGGTTCATAATCTATATTTTGGAGTTTTTTACGTTTTAAAACTATATGTAACATCTCCAGACCAAACTCAATAAGAATGTGAGCGTTCGCCTGGGCATTTGTCTTGATTTTTTTGTTTAGCGCTCCTGATCGCTGTGGCGGTGGTTGTATTATGAAGCAATCTGGTCTTGCTCGTCGCATTTTTTCCTTTTCCTGTTCCGATAACACTCTCCGCTGGATGCCCGGCAAAAGGTCAGTAATGCTTTCGGATATTGTACCATATATAAAGATCAGTAGGCTTTCACGTGATATGTGCGCATTTTCCACCAAACCATTTACAATCTTCGCAAAACATTCCTGAATTTTTAACGTCAGCTTTCGCGATTTCGATCGTGCCAAGTGATCTTTAAAAGGAAGTAATAAGTCCAGCAGACAGTTTTCTTGGATGTTTCGAGCGATTATGTGTAGTACGAGATAACTTTTAGCGCTTGGTTTGGCCTCAGGTGTGTGAGATGTTAATCTGTCTACTTCTTTCTCTGCACTGACATCGCCAAAAATATCGTTTAGGGCCACTTCCAATAAATTGTGGAGACAGCACTCTATGTCACCTGGTTGAACGACATCACGCAGGGCATCAAGGACACCGTGTATTGTAACTGACAAAACATGCACTTGGAAGCCTCTTGTTAGAAGATTCTGCAAATGGCTTACAAGCATGGAAAGATACTCAGATCCAAGGCACAGCATGATTTTCTTTAAAATATCGCGAGTCAGCATTCTTACGGATTTCAGTGGAGACCTTAAGAAGGTACAGACCTTCATAAAAACACCTGGAACGAAATTCACGGTTTGTCTTGTTATGAAATGTATATGATAACCTGACTAACCTGGTAAACTGGAGTCCATCAACTCTTTTGGTAGCTTCTGCATGAGTTTCACCAAAGCTAGAGCAATTGGAACTCTTAGAATTTCCTCTTCTTCTCGTTCAATACTAAGCCTTTTCCGATTCACTTTGTGTTTGGTATCATAAGAGGATTGTTCCGTTATGGAACGATTAAGTGTTGGAATTAATATGGATGTAATTGTGGTCAGAACTTTTTTGGAAGCAGAGCATGACAAAAGTAGTGGACGTTTCATGCACGATTCACCCTTAGCTGCACCCTCTTCCTTATTGGAGACTTCGTCTTCAACGAGTTGAATGTTGTTTTCCAGCGCTTCTTCTAAATTGTCCTCTTCAGTCCCCCTGGAAGTTTCATCGCCTTCATCGTCGTCATCACCCTTTTTGTCTTCATTAGCTTGATCATCCTTAACGCCTGTTTGTTCTAACTCATTATGATCATCGGTCTTGATAGTTGCTTTAAGCTTTTCAATGGTCTCTGCATCATTCTGAGACAATGTAAGGTCGAAATGAAACGCATCCAATATCCTGACAACAATGCGTACGCATTGCTTCTGATAGTCGTGCGAGGAACGCATTTTCATCAAATAATAACGCAGAATTGTGTAGTAATGCTGCCACGGCAATAATTGGCATACTACTCCAACTGTTTCAATTGCTGCATCGACGAGTGTATGCTTGCTAGCGTGCTTCTCCTGCAGGAGGTAACGTGAAGCTAAAGGAAGAATGATTTGTGTAAGAGTTCGCACACAAGGTGGGGTAGAAAGAGTCGCTGACATAGCATTAAATTTTAGCAGGGCTCTACCATGGCGGTGTGACTGCAAGTGTATCATGTTCTCGAAGAAATCCACCTCGGGATCTAGTTTGTCACCAAGGCCACTTAAGTCCTTAAGTATTTCGTGAGAATCAGGACATTCTCTTACCATTTCGCCCAATAAACGAATACCTTCGTTACGGACATTTTCATTGGCGTCTTTAATAATGCGCCGTATCAGATTAAGAAAAATATCTCCCACTAAGTACCTCATTTGCTGTTTATCGGTGGAATATTTCTTCGTAAGGTGCGGTAGCAAAAGCCTCAAATGTTCACTTGCGTTGTCACGCAATCCCATGTCCTTGTC